GAATGTTTTTGTAAGATTTTCTCAGACACGTCCAAGCACAAGATGGCCAAATTCTTGTTAGCTCTGAGCAAAATTGTGTCTTTTCTCAAGCATTAAAAATGGAACTCCTTTATCGGGTAGAAGCAAGGAGGGAAATAAAAAAGAGAAAAATACCATGTGTTACTTCCTGACCACTAAGAATGGCACCCAGCTGAAGCCACATTTCTTTCCTGCAGAAGGCGCAGGTAAAACTTCCAAGTAATTTTCTGTTCATGTTACTAATTCTGGAATGTGTGTGACACATGTAGAAAAAGTGGTCTTATGGCTTTACCATACTTTATTTTTGCTATTATTTCTTTTTTAAAGAAAATGAAACATCCTTAGAAAGATTACATGAACACGTATACTTTGAAAGTACGAAAATAAGTAGGAATTACCTCTCCACTTTATGTGGTGTAGCCTTGCTGCTCAGTGTGGACAACAGAAGCATCTCAAAACACAGATTGAAGAAATGAAGAGTTCTCGGAATCCCAGAATCACTAAGAAGAATCGGTTCTCTAGCACGATTCCTAGAGAACTGTACACTCACTAAGATGTGAAAAGTACCAGCATGAAGAAATGTTTTAAATCAACCCCCGTATAGGATAATCTTTGGGAAAAGAAAAAAATATCACTTTAATGGAGAAGGTTTGTTCAAAATATTCAACAAAGAATGATGTAACAACTTCTACATGTTGTCCACACAAAAAAGAAATGAAATGATTGACATTTGTTATATTGATGACCTTATAGTAATAGTTTCAAACAAAAGCATATAAATTAAGTTCCCATATATTACATATTCATGAATTGCTTCAATTATACACAATTTCCCATTGATTCCTATGTATTTTCTTTAGCAAAACATATGCAACTGTTAACTATCACATTAAACTCTAGAAACATAAAGATCATCTTAGAAAACATTTAAATAATGACTAAGTACAATAGTTTTAAAAAGAATTATGTCCAACCAATCGTGACCGCACTGTTGTGACAGATTCTAGTTTCACTCATTCTAGGCACCATTTCCAAAAGGAATACAGAAAAACTGCAAATTATTGTTTCTTCCAAGTATCTGAGCAAATAAATACCCATGCTATCAGGTAAGGTGGGGATCAAAACAAGAATTACCATTTCCATTTTGGGGGTTTGCAAGACTGGAAATCAGGCTGTGATGCAGAGAGGAGGCTACCGGGAAGAAGATGGCTCTGGTCACTGGTGTTAAGAAATCCTGACGTTCATACAAGCACATCACCAGCACATGTTAAATTTTAAAAGATTGCCTATTGATCTTACACATACAATGCAACTGTCAGGCTTTGGTTTTTAAATTCTGCTTCTCCTTTAAGGCTTTCCTTGACTTTAGTAGTGACCTGGTTTGTACTGCAAACGAACATGAATGTCAAAGAAGGGGAAGAAGATGGTTCCATACTGGGTCTGTCTTCTGACCCTCCCCGAGGATGAGTGAAGTGACCACACAGTCCCTGTGCAATGCATTCTATCATGCTGCAGGTCAGGATACATTCGTTGTTCCCTTCATACATAGCTCTTGTCTAGTCCAATAAAACCCCCTCTGCATGTTTTCCGCCTTGAGAATGCTTTTAGCAACACGCGTTTGATGAGCATCTTAGTCTGGAAAAGATAAAAGCAGGCACTGCTCCCAGTAAAGAGCTCTGGTCGCCTTTTCAAACAAGACCAAGTTTGTATTTGAGTTCCCCCTATCATTTGTGAACTGCTGTGAGCAGAGCGACTGCGCATTAGCCTTTGAGACGCCTCAGCCCTAACACGGAGCCTGTTTCCTAACGATGCTCAAAAATGCTGGTGGATTGCACACATTCCCAAGTTCCCTACCACTGATTTTCTTTTTTTTTTTTTTACATCTTGGGATGTATTGTGAGATCAGATAATGCATTTGAGCTCATCCATCCATAAGCAGGCTCGCCCTGTTGTCTTTTTGCCGGTGTAATTATTTTCTACCTTTCGTTTTCTCATTCATCCTAGAGATCTCAGTGTAGAGAGATTTCACAGGAATATGACATTTCAAATATCATCATGCCTAATTGGGTCTAGTCTTATACATATCTGAATGAAAGAAAAAAGTATCTGTACATTGCAGGGGTGTGTGTGTGTGTGTGTGTGTGTGTGTGGGTGTGTGTGGGTGGGTGGCACACAAGGAAAAATCAAAGTAAATGAGCAAGCAAGCCATCCCCCTCACTTGAGGTATCTCTTTGACTTAACATTGCTGACTCTTACTTCTCTCTCTTTTTAAAATGCTTCACTTTGCATTTCCCCTTCTCACTTTTTTGTGTCTTTTTTCTTGGTTAGCCCTGTGGGCTGACTGCATCCTCGTAAAAGGGATCAACATTACACAAAGCACTCACGTTGCCCACCTTCTCCTCTTTAGCCTACGGAAGGCTCCTGTCCTCAGAGACGGAATGCCCAGATTCAAAAAGAATTGTGGCTGCTCTCCTAACTTTTGCAGCTCTAACAGCAGGGCAGGCAAGATGGACAGCAGAGCAAGCCTGGGTACAGACCTCCCCACAGGATCTGCTGGCCATGGTAAAATGGCAGAATCCTACTGGCTAGCTCATACATTGCTTAAATACGAATTATTGTTTAAAATCAAAGTAACATTAGTCAACTCCTTATGCATGAGTTGTTTATTAGAAAAAAAAATAAATGCTTTAAAAGATATTTTTAATAACCGGCTCTTAAAATGAATTCATTTTAAAAAGCATATTCACAAATATCACTAATTTCTGACAGTCCCTTTACATACGAATGTAATGATCAGAGAGCTTAGTGAATGATATCATCAAATAAAATAGACAGACACACTTGCTGCTGGTTGACTGCCCAACAGTTCTTGCTTTGAGGTTTCTCACAGATAATAAAGCTTAGAATTTCACACTATTTTGATAAATTTTTTCTCTCCCTTTTCTTCCCATTACAAAGTATGTGTATAACAATCAACCAATTCCAATATCTGGTATTGACGTAAGTTTGATCTGCTAGCATTGGTGTCTTTTTTTTTTTATAGATAGAATGCTAAGAGCCAAATGTTCAGTTCAAATAAAAAATGCTGAGTTCTACTTCTATTGTTTAAATTACGCAATACGGATCATTATCCTATTGGATTTGGAGATTTTTATCAATACTGCAATTGTTTAAGAGAGCTATATTTTTAAAAGAAGTATTGTGAGAAATAAGGTCTTTTAGAAGCAACGAAATAAAAATGTTTCAACTTCTGTGTCAAATTTTGTCCTTAACTTTAAAAAATCTGTACAACTCTATCTCACCATTAACACTAAATTGCCCAGAACAATGAACTTCAATTATACTTGCTCATTTTCTAAAGAGTCTTTTTGTTTTATAATTTTAATTGAGCAATTAAATAGAAACATGACATGTTTATCTAACGTACCCACATTACTCACCTGGTGACTGATTAGAGAGACCAAGGATTGAAGCAAAGTTAAAAGAATTCTACTGAAAAGACACTGGTCTTCTTGATTTCAAGTCAACCTCCAACTAGGTAAGTTACAATTCTGACTAGTTACTAGATTTAAATTTGCCATGGCCTATGATCCTGGAAGGTCTGTATTATTTTTTGTTTCAATCACTGGTTATCATTATTAAGTAAATAAGTACTCAAAAAGCACTTTAGTAAGCAAATTGTTGCAAAATTCTTCCACATCTTGTGCAATTCTTGTTTTAGACTCCTAGCCTCCCTATCCTAGTCCTCCTCCTAACACCCATCTTTGAGTCTTTGGTATCTTCTCAAACTCGCCTTTGGCACCACGCTTTCCCAATCCGTGTAATCATTTATTGGAAAATTCTCTAACCAGTATGCGCCACAGGACAGGACTCAACATGGAAGTCGGACGCCTCATTCAATCCTCAAACAACACGATGAGCCTCTTCAGTTTCATGAGTCTACTTAACAGGTCAAACAATTCTCTTTCAAGCTGCAAAATAGAGGGAGTTCTCAACATTTTACCACTGCAGGTATTCTGCAGCATTTTGTCAAATTGTGAACGATCAACTCTTATACAAAACTCAGCACAACGTTCCCCCTGGGCAATCTTCAACTGACCCTTTACTAGATGCGCAAAGAACATCATGCAGAATTTCTGTGGTTCTCATTTCTGCAAATGAAATTTTTGAAAATGATTAATGCATTGAAAGCCCATTTTATCTACCTCTCCTTTTCCTGAGCTCCATAGCTTATAAAAATGATATAATAAATAAAACTCTAAAGGCTCATCATAAATCTTAACCAACTCCTGGAACTTAGAGATAAGTCTATTTGCAAGGCTACTTTACATTTTATGAAGTTTCAGTTTTAAACAGAAAAGTCTACCAAGACTGAAGAAAAAGAAAAAAAAACAGGAAAATGAATCAGTTTGGAGAAATCTGGTCATTACATTCAGCAGTTATATTGCAGCATATATTTGTCCAGTTTTAATTCTCTCCAGGGCTAAAGGGGGAATAATATCACACAAGTGGTTTCGGTCCAGCGCTTGTTAAGCCAAAGCTCTCAGAAACAGCCAACCCTTCCTGGTCTCAGACAGAAAATGAAAATTTACCCACCCTCAATCTTCAGTGGCACATCATCAACTTAATCTGGTGTTTGTTTGTGGGGTTTTGTTTGTTTTGTTTTTTGAGTCTCTACCAAGAATGGCACAATTTGAAATCAGAGAACTTAACAGTTTTAATCTATAGGACAACTTGATTGTAAGTGCCTCCCTACACACCTTTAAAATAAATCTTGGCTTCGAAAGCACGAATTCACTGTCTCATCGCACATGGGAAAGTTTTGAACTCAAGTTGGTGATACTAGGAACTGCTGAGTAATAACCCCGGTTCTCTCCAACCAGTTCAGCATGCATCTCATCTTTGATATCAAGTGCACTGATCATGAATGCCTTATAAGAGCATCTCCACTATAAACAGTTCAGGCATTTGGAAACAAAGTATCAATGGACTGTACAGTTACTTTAATTCATCTTATAAATAAGCAACTGAGAATTCTGCTCCAAGTGGCTACTAGTGTAACCCAGCCCATAAATGGCATTCTCCGAAGCATAAGGCACAATATGATACGAATGCAGCTCCTCATAATACACAGATTGAGAACAGCACTCCTGTACCATAAACTTCAGCCGTTTTCTTGTATCGGTATAAGCAGTCTTGTAACAGGGAGCTTCCTTAAAGTATTCATAGCTCTCTTTCTCCGTCTCTAGATGTATCTTCCTCAGCAAATTGTTAATTAACACAGACCTTCTCAAGTAGGTTTCTGGGTCTTCAAGAAACCTGAGCTTTTCCAGAGAGAGTTTGAGAATGCAAGTCCTGTCCTCGGGTAATATCAGGTGCTGAAAAAGAAACACAGCCGTTCAAATCACACTGCCAGAAATGCGCGCATGGGGACGTTCTGCTCCTCCAGAGCAATAAAATAAAAGGCAACAAGGAAGCAATGGATCCACGCTTACTTTTGGAAAACACCCATGGTAATCCTGATGTAGATCTTCTTCTTCTGCATATTTTCTCTTAAAGTACGCTACTTTCGACGTCGTTGATGCCTATGTCAGTACTTTCGTTGGATAAGCTAGACAAATACAACAATTGGAGACAAATTAGGTTCGAGCCAAGGGCACTTCATCAGGTTAACTCTACTTGTTGAAAGGAAATCAATAACCCTAGATATCACTGCTGTCGCCTCCCTCGGCAGGAAGGAGAAGCGATGCATGGCAAGCATTTTCTGAGCCCAAATCCGGTAGGCGGGCAAACGTCGCAACAGGAGCCCTGCTCGTGCTGGTTCTGATTTCAGGATGCACAGCAGCAATGTCCTCTAGCAGTTTAACGTCAAAACTCTCCTCAAATCGAAACTGGTCCCCAAGATGTAACAGAATGAGGCCAGAACATCCTCAGCATTCTTTCAATGAATCCACTTAGTCCAAAGTTTCCATAGCTTTGGGTAAAGCAGAACTAATGGGAAGATTTGAGGGCGAATGTTGGACCTGGAGGTTAAATCATTGCCTCGGGCATCTCCAGGGCTGGCCGGCCTGTGTTTGTGTCCAGGCTCTGCTTTCTTCCTCTTAAGGGGCGTGTCGGGAGCACTGGTGATGGATCCAATACTTGGATCTCTGCCACTCACATGGGAATCCTGGGTTCCTAGCTTCCACGTGGTCCAGCCCCAGCTCTACAGCCCACTACAACTGAATCTTTCTCTGGGCCTGTCTCAAATTCTGCCTTTCAAATTAAAACAATACAAACAATGCGTTTTTTTTTTTTTCTTAATGCAAGAAATTCCTGATTTTTGTCTTACAAGGCGAATTCAAAAGTTCATAAAAAATGCATGTCATGAAAAAACTAAACATACGTTTCAAAATAACTTTGTGCCAAAGTAAACTTATCTCTTCGTTTCCTTTTCGGGGCAGGTTGGCGTAACAGAGAGAGGTCCTGACTGTGACGCTGGCATCCCGTATAGACACGGGTTTGAATCCTGCCAGTCCCTATTCAATCCAGCTTCCTACTAATGTCCTGGGAAACTCGCTGAAAGATGACCCAAGTGGTGCCCGGCCCCGCTGCTCACACAGTGGGCCTTAGTCCGGCTCAGCACCCGCCACTGCGGTCATTTGGAATGTAGACTGGTACATGAAAGAACTTTCTCTGTCTCTCTCTTTCTATGCCCCTTGCTCTGTAACTCTCACTGCAAAACTCATTAAATGTATCTTTAATAACAATGATTTCATTTTCTATGAACTTTCTGAAACACTCTGCTTATATTCAGAGGAAACAATACTGTTGGAATAACAAAATTGGATTAAGATAGTTGATGGTTCAATTCCATTTTAACAGAGTTAGTTATATTATATTTTAAATAGTTATTTATAGACAACGCTATATACTATAGTTATGATAGAATCGTTGTCCTAAAATGTCTTAATATAAGTTCATTATAAATAAATGAAAGATGAAAAATTGTTATGACTGAGAAACATGAGCTTCATATAATATGTTTTTTTTAATACTATCTCTATAGGGCCTGACACAGTAGCCTAGTGGCAAAAGTCCTCACCTTGAACACGCCAGGATCTCATGTGGGTGCCGGTTCTAATCCTGGCGGCCCTGCTTCCCATGCAGCTCCCTGCTTTTGGCTTGGGAAAGCAGTCTAGGACAGCCCAAAGCCTTGGGACCCTGCACCTCTGTGGGAGACCTGGAAGAAGCTCCTGGCTCCTGGCTTCAGATTGGCTCAGCTCCAGGCCGCTGCGCTCATTTGAGGAGTGAATCATCAGATGGAAGATCTTCCTCTCTGTCTCTCCTCCTCTCTATATATATCTGACTTTACAATAAAGATAAATAATTTTTAAAAAACTATCGCTATTAAAGGTTCCTATTTAAGCGAGTTCTGATTGAGTTCTGAGTTCCAGACAAGAAATGACTTGGCTTCCTACGGTTTCCTCTAGGTGGCGCGCCAATTACAGAAAGGAGACAAAATTACAAGCAGAAGCCTAAAGGCGCATAGTGAAAGCTCTGAATGAATTTCGAGAACAAATGGAGTCCAGTCCAGATTCATTCAACCTCAAGGCCAGGCCAGAGAGTTCCCAGTTTAACATAATTTACTGTGCCCTTAACCTAATCACAAATATTTTTATGTGGTGAAGCCATTAAATGAACAAAACAGTGAGTTTATTAATGCATTGTTTAAATGAATTTGTAGATTCATTTGGGGCTTTTCCTATAACATAATTTTTTAAAGCTTAAATATTAAAAATGAGCTCTTCAAAATGCTTCATTTTCTAGTTTTTCTCCCAAGTGAGGAGCATCCGCTTAAGTCTTCCTGCAGTTTTTTTTTTTTTTTTTTTTTTGCAGCTTCCTGAAAGCTTCTCCAATAGGACAAGCTACAAGAAATACAAAACCACACCACTAGCATTGTAAAATTATTCTGGCATTATTGTGTGGCTGTAAATCCTACAGAGCCTTAAGTTTGAGCTGACATGTTATACAAAGAGAATCAGGAACATTAAGTTACTCATAATGCAACTTCAAAAGGGACAGACACAGCCGTAAGTCACAGCTGACGTGGGGACAATAATTGCTACCATATGTATACAGTCGCAGAATCCAATAAAAAAAAATCAGCTGTCATGGAGTTCTCATGGATTTCAACAGCTGAGAAAGAAAGGAGCAAAACCCATCAAGACAGTAAGCAGAAAGTTCCCGAAGCCAGGTTTCTCAGAGGCTGCTTTGCAGGAAAATGCATTTGTGGTTTTTTAAGCGTACAATGAAACAGCTGAAACATTTGGGGTTTACCAAGGGATAATTATTTTCACTTCTTTTGAGACTGTCTATTCTGTATAATACACAGGTACTTCAGGAAACGTGTAGGGGCAGTGTGTGGTGCGTGGCTGCGACACCGCGCGGAGTGCCTGCATCCCTATCAGACCTACCTCTGCTTCTGGCTCCAGCATCCTAGCAGTGCTGGTAATGGCTCAAATACTATGTCCCTGTCACCCACGTGAGAGACTATGAATGGAGTTCCAGGCTTCTAGCTTGAGCCTGGGTCAGCTCCAGCTGTTATGGCCATTCGGGTGAGTAAACCAGTACTTGGAAGCGCTACCTCCTTGTCTCCATCTCTCTGTTTCTCTGTCTTTCAAATCTTCACAAAATTAATTGTTTAAGTTTGTGAGAAAAAACGGAATTAAAAGTCACTTATTTCGGTGCATAAATTTTTGAAATCCATACTCGCTGCATCATACACATGTTCCATAAACTTTCTGAAGACCCTTCATATAGATGGGTTTCAACATTTATTTGCACGGAATAAAGTTCCGTTTCACACAAGTTTGTTGAAGAAACTCATATTGCTTCTCAAGGGGCATCAACTCCCCTCTGGGCCTTGTTAAGGCCTCAGTAGCTGAGCGCCTCCCCCAGGGTTTGTAATTCAGGAAGTCTGGGCTAGGAGCAGAGCGTGTGCATGTCTAGTACATTTCTAGGTGCTGCTGGTGCTGCTGCTCTGGGAGCCGCATTCTGGGAGCTTCTATGACAGTGCGCAGCACAGCAGCTTAGTAATAGCCATGTTACGTGGAAACAGACCGTTGAGCTCTGCTGAATAAGCTGATTGGCTTATCACCAGATGCCAAGCAGACGGCTTGACTGATGCTTGCTGTCACTGCTGTTGCTTCTCTACGTTAACTTAGATGCTCTAGCCTTATGAATAAGGCCAGACTGCATTGTAATTAAAAAGCAAATAGTAAGATCACTGCTCATCATCAATTCTTGCTTCCAATTAAGAAGAATCAGTGGGCTTTTATGAGCACTGTAGCCACCCAGATCCCAGGTTCACTCACTGTATCATTCACTGTAAGACAGGAGACAGAAACTCTTGGACCCGAGTAAGTTTACCATTAACAAATGTTATTTTTTTTAATAGAGGTGGCTCTTTAATATGTATGTTCATTTTATATCCCAGAGTAATACATCATCTCCAGCATTAATGACTAATTAAAAACCATTTAATGAATGATACAAGGCAAAGCAGGTGTTAGCTTGGAAAACTAAATGTCAATTAGATTTATTGTTCTGGAGCCCAGGTGAATCTCCAGGGAAAATATTTTTATTTAACAGACCAAACCACCCAACCACCACCAGCAAAAACAAAACAAAACAGCAAAAAAACAGTGAAACTAAGGTTCACACAGTTCTGTCTGGGCTATATTCAAGCAATTAGACAAAGCTATGCACCAGACCTTCAAAATACAGGGGAAAAAAAATCTCAGGCGGTCTAAGTTGTAGTCTCAGCTCCCCCACACGCAACACAATTAGCTACTTTGTCTTACAACCATCCCCATGGATTGCTAAAATTTTGCAAAGGTTTCACAGTTGCTAACAGTCTGACAGCTCCTTGCAACTGTCTAACTACATACAGAGTTTTCAGCATCACATTTGGGGGATAGTTTTAGCCATTTTTAGGCTGTTTAACTACATAGATCTTATAGAAACTGTAAGTTCCAACATCTGTCTTCTTGATCGATTAGAACTCAAAAAATCAGGAGTTGCAAGCTGTGGATTTTCTAATTCAGCCTTCTCACTATATAGATGGGGAAACTGCAGCCCCAAAGATTGTAAGCGCAGTGGCTGATCTTCTGCTGTGTGCCTAAGAGGTTGGGTTTTGAAAGCAGAGGGAGATAGCTTCCACTTCTTATCGGTATGGCTTTAAATCAATGAAATAAGAGTTCTACCATTTATAAAGCGAGGATGGAAATGATACTAGCTCAGATGACCACTAACTCATGGGAAGTGGCTGGCACTATGGATAACATACAGTAAGCTTTCAGTCAAATCCTAGCTCTTAATAGTACTAAAAAGTATAGGATGCCATCTGAGTGCAAAGCCCAAGCTGGCTGCCTACCTCTGAATTCAAACCTCTTCCCACCACCTGCCTCTCGAGGCACCAGGCTGTACTTTGACAGTGAAATACGGCAAGAAGATATTTTGAATGGCGAAGTTGGAGAATAAAGTATAGGTTCTATAACAGTGCCAAGAAAATCTCCCTGGTACATTTCCATCGGTCATACATGTTGGGTGAAGAAAATGTAAAATGTT